TGATAGGATCAAGCCATCGTAGATAAATTTCCTAAGTTATCTAAACTCTCTTAATCACAAATTGTAAAAGTAAATCCTATCTCAATGCACATTAAGATAGCTGTTAATGATAAAACGCCAACCTTTAATTCACTTCTAAGATAATGAAACCAAAACAAAAAATCTTGTTTAAATTCAGTGTTACAAATCGTATCAAACATAATAGATTTAACTTCCCAGTTCTTGTTCATATTATACATTGAGTCATTATTATTATTATATATTATGATGATTTTTGAAACTGGCGAGACATTTCTGTTGTTGTTGTCTTCAAGGTTTGTATAATGTTTCAGTAAAGGTATTTCATTTCTACAGTCAAATAACAACAGTGAAAAATTAAGGATACATCGTTGATGTTCATATACCCTTACAATAAGAGGCTTTTTTTGTTATTGTTTAGCCAATAGTTCCTCGTTGCAGTTTTTATGCTAATAATTATTTCTATTGTATGTGTATATATATATTTATAAATGTTTTGCCTGATTTGAAAATAAAGGTATGTATTTTAAAATAAATTTTCTCAATGTCTTCTGACGATTGGGCATATAAGGGATAGAGATATGTCTCTGTCGTCGATTGTGTCAATTACGAATATGAAACTTTGAACAACAAACTCTTTCAACGTCTGTTGAATGCCCTGAAGTATGGTTTTATTTTGACGACATAAGGGCTTGGCGTTTCGACTGGTTAGCGTGTCGGTTTACAGATCGAATAGTCCTATATTCGAGACGTGACACTGCTAATCGTATTCAGTACTTTCGGGTGTGGGCGTGGTATAAAACTGATAGTTAATCCCGTTATTTAGTTAAAAGCCAAACAAAGCCCTAGTTGCAGTGGGTGCTCCTGATTGGGTGCCCTCTCTGGTCACTTGGAGGCATGTTGAACTAAGATTTGGCCTTATAGCTAGCTCACTGTGAAACAAAAATCAACATCTCCTTTCTTGATATGCATTTGAGTAAATAAAGAAATAGTTTTGAGAGTACCCTGAAATGCAACAAATAGAGAGAGAGAGAGAGAAGAAAAAAACGATCACCAGATTCATCTTGTATCATCAAAACCTGTACGCTATTTAGCGGATAACGAGAAGTATCTATTACCAGCAATATATGAAAGAAGAGTTAATCAGATTACTAAGGCTCTAACTGCGTGTCGCTAGCCATGTTCAATAGAACTATTGAATGCGGGTTATTTTGATTAATAAAGCCCAGTCCACTTAACGAAAGCGACTTGTTTCTTCAACTAAACGACTTAAAAGTTCACCGAGATATACGCTTAACTTACAAATAAAACTAAACACTTTTACATATATTTTTTTAATTTGCTCTCGTAACTGCTGCACAAACACAAAACTGGCTGATTAGCACACGCTTTATATCACTGTAACAGGCTCACTAACTAACTCTCTTGGTTTTTTTAAATTATTACACTTTCCTCTAAGTCTCTAGAATATTCCAGACGTCGCAGAAACTCGGAACATTTCTTGGTGTCACACATTATCACTATGTCATGCCAAAACTCCCTTTAGCAAACAGTACAACGTCTTAATTAAAATATTTAAACATAGTTCACGACATTATTAACATTGTAATAAAAGGAAATATTTCAGGATTTTGGACAGGAGCAACAACAACAAAAATAACTTATTTACTTATACATCCCTTTTGTACCCAATTTAGGGGGGGGGGGTACTTCTCGATGAACATCATTAGTGCTGCTTTTAAATTAGGCAACATACTTCAAAGTACATTGGACCTTGTATGGCCTAATACAGCGGTTCTCAAACCGTTTCCAGTGCCGACCCTATTTCAAACATCCTGAATCTGTGCGACCCCATCTGTTTGAAAATGTATTTCAACCAGCCTACTCAGTGTTATCTCTTATTAATATTTTTCTGCGAGATTATTAACCCAGGTTCGGAAAATACACTTAAAGATTAGTGTTCCTGTAATGTGAATCCGAGTAGTTTACTGTTCACGTCTCGTTGTCGGAAAAACGTGCTCCTCAATTTGATCCATAAGTGCACTAAAAAGTAGCGGTGGTTTCTGCTGACAGTCTACCATCTCTCTACTCTTATCGGTTCGTAATTAGTGATAGTCTGTGAAGCCTTGCGCGAAAATTCCAAAACAACCAAAGCATATTATGGTTATCAAGGTAAAAGAAAAATACGTCACCGAAAGCTTAAAACACAATTTACCAATTTCAATGTGCTCCGGATATGAAGTATACTGACGAATAAGGAAAGCCTCTAAAGTACATGGATGTTAACGAGACTTTTATAACTCATTCACGTAAAACATCTGCCATTAACGAGCAGTCCTGACAGTAGGATATAGAAATTCGTTGGAACACCAAACAGGAAACTAGATCAACAGTTTAAATGAGCTATCATGAAAAAGAATTTTAAAAATACTGGATCAACATCTGCACTGAACAGAAATTTGGAATTAAATATTTTGGTGCTGTTTGGTTAAGTTAGGATCATTACAATTAATCATTATTTAACTCCTTTTTTTTTGTTTCTGAAATAAATGTTATTTTGAGAATTAGCATTTTTCATTCGCATCATGTTGATATGCATGCAATTTGCTTTTTTTAATAAGAAGCTAGTGTGCTGAGCTGGCGATATTCATACAGGGCGGTTTGGTATGATTATTTTCCCTTTGTGTAAATAATAATCTTCATAATTTATTTTAACATAATTAATCAACCATAAACATCTTGTATATCCTAATTCTGCATTGCCCAAATATGATTATTGTATTTTTTTTTATCTTGCATTTTAACCTTTGGGTGTCTGTCATATCTCAATTACATAGTGTAAAATATTCTGGATGTGTTCTTTGCTCCAATATTCAGTACACATTAACTTCAGAGTGACACTCAAGTCCAACTATTCGGTCTAACGAGTGTAACCCAAAAGTTGATGATGAGTATGTTTTACTTAGATGCGTTCCCTCTAGTCTATCACTTCAAAATTAGGGACGACTGTCGTACAGCCCTTGGATACTTTGTGCGAAATCCAACAAAACCATGAATTGATGTAATTGGACTTTTACTTTCTTTCTTATCTCAATAATATTTATATACATTTAATAAATCTAGGAAAATGTTACTAAAAAATACTGTTTATTCAATTATATATTAATTCATGTTTGTTTGTTCTCTTGCGAACTCCTCCCATAGTTTTGGAGAAAGCAGGACCGAACTTGGAAGGCGGACTTCATGTGACGTGAGGTGGTCCTTCTTTATATATCATAGCCCCCCACCATGGGGTGGGAGGGCTAAAACGCACCCAGGCCCGATGGAGTGTAGGAGTAAGTTTTCAGGGTCGCTTAACCCAAATCTTGCATCAGATTTTGTCTCGGCTTCACCCGGAATCACAGGGGCGCCATCTTTGAAACTGTTCATAGCCTCACTCAGTTAACGGGACCATACGAGCGGGTGTCCTAACGAGGTTTGTTTTTGGTACGGACCACCACTGGGATAGCTATAGAATTATTGATGATAGTGAAGGATGTTGATCGATATAGTGGAGCCTCTATGAACCGTGAGCTCAAAATAATTATTTCATTGGGGAGGATAGGGGAAGAAACATTTTTCCTGTTACCCATGTAACTGTTATATAGGGCTAGCGTAATATAAGCTTCAATATAAATGTAAAGGTAGCGGAAGAACCATGCAACCTGTAACTTTGTCATTTGGTAAAATGTACAAATACGTAACATGTATGCGAAACATATTAATGAAAAACACCCTAGGTCGCGTAGCAAGGCAACATTGTCTATATCTAGCTAAGGTCCCAAAGTACAAAGTTCGGTAATAAGCACAAACCACGCACGGACTCTCGTAACCAAACTTCAGCACGCTAACTGCTTGATCACAACCCCTCCCAAGGAAAATGTAATCGTTTTTGTTTTTATATAAGAAAATCAACCATTTCGTTTTCATCCTTTAGACATGTTATGCTACGTAGTTTGTTTTATCTAATTCATATATTTAAGCATCAATTCCCTTTTCTTGTATTTGTTATAAAAAGTGATTTTGTTGATTTATACCAAAGGTCACAATTTATCCAACCTTGTTGTATGTAATTAGTTTAATATTGCTTCCTGGGTGAAACGAGTCAGTGAGGCTTGCGACCGTGATTTGATTATTTGTCTGCATAATAATCTGTATTTCTTCACGTTAAAAGAAAAATGCTTTGTATTTTTTAAACAGAATATACAAAAGCTCTGGTGGTAGATTAAATGTGTCTGTGTTTCTTTACTTGTTTATATGAAACGTATACCATATGAAACTTTTGTATTATCTTCGAGACAGACATCGCGTGGCTGGTGTCCGCCTGTGAATCCGAGGGTTCATGATGTGCGACCCGTTTGGGGCAGTGGATGCGCTGTAAGAGTGACGGTTCAATCTCAGTATCATATCAAACAAAAATATCACTAGAGGTGGGGTGGGTTTTGTTGTACAGTTTTACGCGAAAATCTTAAAAAGAATTGATTTTCCTTCCGCTGCTTACTCCGCGTAAAACATCTGTTAGGGATGATGGGTCATTACGTTACGCTAATCTGCTATAATACCAGCATCTGGCTCAGCACGAGTGGTCAGCAAAACTAAAAAAGAAAAAAAATTGAGACAAAGGTCCCCGCTGGGTCATTGATATGCTTACGAAGTTATAATGCTAAAAACCGAGGTTCGATTCCCCCGATGGACAAAGTGCAGTTAGTCTATTATAGTTTATAATGACGTAAAATGAAACATTTCATTCTCTGTTTGTAAAGACGTAATGAAATAACCAACAATAACATTTTCCTGTTTACCACATCTATAAAGGAAGTGGTGCTAAGACAGCTCAGACGATGTCTCGGAACCAGTGGTTACGCGTATCTCAGCGGAAGTGCAGCCCAAACTGATAAAAGAACAGTATAAGTCTCGGTGCATGAACAGTCGTGAATTATGAGCTACACTTCACTGACACATTTATATTAAAAACGAAACCTCGCATCTACCTAGCGCGACTTTGATACCGTGTGATTGGTCATTCTCATTCCACATTGGTGTGATCATAATCCCTAGATATTACCTGTACAATAAGGGAAGGACAATACTTTAACCTTAAACAAGGTATTGCGTAGCAATGTCCTCAGCGGGTGGTAAGTTATCATTTAACTTTGACGACGAAACTAAGGTAACTTGAAACAAGATTGACTTAAAAGTGTTTTTGATCAGGTGTTGTGTGAAAAATCAGCATACATTCACAACAAAGAATGAATTCAAAACAAATCCATGTGCTTTTTGATAGTATTACAAGGAGAGTTCAGAAAACACAGCATTTTGCTCCAATTTTGTTTGTTTGTTTGTTAAATTTACACATTAATCAATTTAGTTAAACGTGCATCTTGAGAGTCCTAAGTAAGCATTATGAAAGATTTAAGAGTTGAATAAACACGACTAGTGATAGCCTAGGCCATGCTTGTCATTAAGGTGTCACGTGGCATTATTGTTTCATGTTACTAACGTTAAATTAAAATTTTATAGAATTTAGTAACTGAGTTGGTTAGTTATTTCGTATATTTGTGCATAGCTAAAAAATGGTTATATTCGTTAACCATCCTTAATTTTGAAATGATAGACTAGAGGGATGGCAACCAGTCAACAGTAGCCACCGTCAACTCTTTGGTTACTCTAATCGAATGGTGGGATTTGATTATTACTGTTAACTCATTCATTGCCATGTAAAATTGCATATGGCAGTTACACGGCAACGGGACGCGAACCTTGGGCCCTTTGATTTACAGTGTCTATCATGCTAAACACGAGGCTCTTCTCTAACTATAAGTAAGTGTGAAGCGTGAGTGCATTAGCTAGTCTTATATTAGCGTCAGCAGAAAATAAATTAACGTAATTATAAATTGCATGTAAAAGTAATTGATAGCTCATTAATAGCTAGACCCTATGACTCAGCGGTAAGTTTGAAGTTTTATAACGCTTAAGAATCGGGTTTCGATACCCGCGGTAGGCAGAGCACAGATAGCCTATTGTATAGCTTGGGATCCGGACATTTTGTTACTAACACTTAGTTACTGGACATTTCTTTACTGCCACATTGTTACTAGGACAACTTGTGATGGGTTACATCCCGTTACATCATTTTTGTTGCGAAAATTGATTTTGTGACAGATAGTTGTTTTTTTGATATATAAAATTGATTGGTGGCAATAATCAAAAGATGATAATAGATCGTAAATTGTACAATCATTTTGGAACCATTCGAAAATTACAGAACGCTGTAGGGGTGAGAGGGTGTCTAAACCTGTATTATGATGTGTTACAGGGGTAGGGGTCTCATGAACAGTGTTACTTAAAAATATAAACTTCGGTGAGAACGATTTAGGTCTATAAAAATATTTGTGATTTAACATACTTTGACTTGAAATCAAAACAACTTGAACATTTGCAAACATTATATACGTGTAATTTTTGCACAACTTGTTCAGTCAGGTTTCACATGTATACTAAGGTACGTACGTGAACACCAAGTAACAAAATTCACCAATCACAAAAAACTTGTGACGAAACCTTTCATAATAATGTGACGGTTACTTCGATGCCTCAACTAAATGTTTGTCGAAAAAAATAAAAGTCTATGTCACAAGCTGTCCTTAACGAAATGTCCAAGACTCGTATAGCTTTGCTCTTAACAACAAACTAACAGCTAGTGTTTTGTTATTTATATATTTATACACGTGATGTAGATATTCAACTTTGCTGGCAAAAGCCTGAGGTAGAAACCTACTTGAAGCACAATGAAACTTTAGACAAAATACAGAGCCTTGCAAAAGTCTTCACTGTGCTGGTAATCATTTGTAGTTATTTTCTGAAAGTCGTTTTGGATAATCCTTCACAAACTTTGCACAGTATGCTGGAGATATTTTTGCACACTCCTGCTTACAGATATCCTCCAGTTATTGTAAGTTGGAAGGATGTATTCGATGCACAGCAATTTTCAAGTCTTTCCACAGATTTTCGAGTGGATTTAGGTTTGGGCTTTGTCTTGGCCAATCAAGGACTTTAATTTTTTTCTCCGAAACCATTTTTGGATTGCCTTTGATCTGTGTTTGGGATCATTGTCCTGTTGAAATGTAAACCTTCGACAGTGTTTTAGTTTTTCATCTGACTTCCTCGGATTTACCTCCAACATCTGTGTATGTTTTGCACTGTCCATGATCTCTTGATTCTGTACAAGTTCTCCAATGCCAGCTGCAGAAAAACATCCCCACAGAATTATGGACTCATCACCATGCTTGACAGTTGGGACTGTATTTGCCGGGTCATGAGCAGTGTTGGGTTTCCGCCATACATACCATTTGTCATTTATCCCAAAAAGTTTTGATTTGGTCTCATCTGACCATAGAACTTTCTGCCACATGGTTGTAAAGTTATTGAAATGTTTACGGGCATAGTCAATCCGCGATCTAAGATGCATCTTCGTCAGTAGTGGTTTCTTTCTTGCCACCCTACCATACAAGCTTTTTTAGTGTAAAGTAAATGATATTGTCAAGGTGTGTACTGTAACTCCAGTTACTGCTATTGAAGTCTGCAGCTCCTTCAGTTTCACTGTTGCCTTGACAGCCGCTTCTCTGACGATTTTTATGCTTGTTCGAGCGCAGACTTTCTTATGGCGACCTAATCTTTACAAGGTTGAGGAAGTGAGACACACTTTCCATTTTTTCACAACCGATTTTACAGTACTTAATGGCAAACTAAGAACCTTTGAAATGGATTTATAGCCTTCTCCGGAATTGTGCTTCTGAACATTCTTCTCTCTCAGCTCTGTAGAGAGTTCTTTTCTCATCATTTTCAATATCTAACAGTAAACCTAATTTTTACTTTCAAAATACTCTGATTAAATCTATATCGATGGCTCTATATGACCTAAAGTATTTTTTTCACATGGCTGTATAATATACTTTGGTACCTGATAGAGTTGTACAGAGTCACTTGTATTTACTTTAGCAGGGTAGTGAGTAAAGTTAATAAATCAACGATGGTAAAAGCTGAGGGGGGCGGCGATTAGAAGCACACTCAGTTACCCTGATTTCCCGTTTGGGTAAGAATGGTAATTGCAAATTAACGAGAGAAATGACAAAAAAAAGTATCGCGGAGTAAATATGAACCTCTGACTTTAAATTGTCAGAAAAGAAGAGGGAACACCGAATGAGATGAAAATCGATCTTCATTCAATGTAACACAGCCACGCCGACGAGTTCACTGAACTATTGACGTCCTCTTCCGGTCACGTAACGATGATAACGAATTTTCCATTTTCTGAATATACCTATATATATATGTGTGTGTGTGTGTGTGTGTGTGTGTGACAGATTTACACCATCACAATATTTGTCCAGTGTGACACGAAACTCCAGAGGGAATGCACGTGTAACAAGAAAAAAAAAGTGTTTAAAAATTAGAAACGTCATGAAATACTTGTCCGTTATACTTTAACTAGTTTATCATCTAATGGGAAATTAGATGTATGTTGAAATATTCAGATGGAAAGATTTAAATGAAATGAGTCCAGCGCTAAGTTTTGAATTAAAAAAGCTTTCCCGTTATTGAGGTCCAAATACAAACAAAACCAGTCTTGCCAACTGGCAAAATATGTATCCATTTATACGGCGGAAGCGTACCATTTTCAAGTTATTTCAAAAACAATATTTCTTGCTACAAGTTTGGTCAACAGGTTTAGTTTTTCAATGGTTTTGGTTAACGAAAAATTTCTTATAGGCAATATTTTAATGAATTGGGAGTGCTTTAGGTAATCCGGAGAAAAATTAGTTATATGAATATAAAGTTTAATTAGAATTATTCATATAAGTCGAAAGCGACGAATTAGTCTTTGAGGGACTTAGCTAATATTCAAAGTAATATGTTCCCAGTAGTTCAACGGCAAGCTTCATGGCTTATAACGCTATAAATCTGGATTCGATCTCTAGGACGGATAGAGCGCAGACAACCCATTGTACAATTAATGGGTCATATTACATTTTTATAGTCTAGATGCTACACAATTGCTGACCTGTCGACATGTAAAATTTTGTCAGTGCGATTGAGTAGGTGCAGAGTTGCAATCATGTGAACAAAAATGTTTCACTTAGCAAGTGTACAACCTTTGGCTTGCTGGTCTGTTTTTAGGCAACTGGACGCAGTGTGATTTGTGCAATGTAGGAGTACCACTTCGAATGCCAAACCACGGGCGTTGAATACGATAATTTGATTATTATAAAATGTTATTGTAAGCAAGATCACCACCATTCCTCACTTCGATGCATCGCGAAACTGTTAGCAAGCTCGTGAAACGCGCAAGAACACTAAGAAATGCTGTGTGTACTGAACACCTAATGTCTGTTTATGTCCTGTCTTCAAACTGCAGTCAGTAGACATGTACTAATGTAAGCACATTTTCAATTACAAAAATACTACGCTATAAACACGAGAAAAAAAACCACAAAAAACGATGGTATTTCTAGTTATGTCAAATTTCATCACCAGTCTTTAAGTCATTCTGGAGTTATACCGTTTAGTTATATTTAGTTCAGTTATTTTAAAAACTCCCCCCCCCCCAAAAAAAAAACTTGCTAAAATATTGGTATAGAATGAGTGCGTATGAATATACATACACACACACACACACACACACACACACACACACACACACACACACACTAATAAATACTATTATTCTAGTAAGTTAAGGACTACGTAACTTAGTAAGTCGTTAGAGTACGTAGTAAGTAAATTAAGTTAAAAACGTAAAAAACAAAAA